TCGTTCCGAGGCATGCGCGACAACGACGACGCGACGGCGTCGCTGGCGTGCGTGGACTTCGAGTCAACAGCGATCGAGAGTGCGAGCGTGATGGAGAAGGGAACTGTCGACCGCGGCATCCAGATTCTGGCGCAGGCCCCCCAGTTCTTGGACCGCAAGCGCCTGATGCTGCCCAGCGACCAGGAGAACGCGGTCGCGGCGCTGAGCAGAGCCATCGCCGCGGAGCGCGGCGAGGAGACAGTCGCGCAGGTCGGGCCAAGGCCGGGCTTCAAGTCGAAGGGGCCGATCGAGGCAGCAGGAGGGAGGCTTCAGCCGCTCGTCCGTACCTTGGCGTACACTGGCAATGCGCACTGCGAGGTCGAGCTAAAGTCCGACGACCATATTAGCACATGGTTGGCGAGGCTCGCTGGCCGGGCCCTCGCGGGGTTTACCGTGGGAGACGATGGCTCGGCGCCGCAGCGACGGCCCAAGGGAAAATATGACCGCGGCCAGATCGCCGTGCTCGCGGAGACCGCGATCGATGTGCAAGCTGCCTGCAGGAGCTGCAGACAAGATGGATTCCGGGTGCGACGGTATATGGCTAGGCAAGGCAAACGTTAGTGACGAGCGCGCGATCGGCACGCCCAGGGGCAGGGTCTTCGCGCGTTCGATTGCAGGGAAGCCTGACGAGAAGAGATGGAACAAAAACATATCTTCGGCCAGGTCGCGAGCGCCCCATCCGATATGAAGGCGACCCTCCTGGGGGCGGAGCCCGTCTCGGGGCCGAGGTACCTGGCCAAGGCGATCCTCAACTGTCTGGGGAGGACATCTGGCTGTCCTGCCTGCGACGAGGCGGGTCAGCGCCACGCGGCCGAGTGCAGAGTTTCGCTCGGAGGCGCTACTGGACGCAGTGGACATTGCGATGGGCCTGGCTGCTCAGGCTGGGGCCCGCGGCGCTTTGCTTCCCCCGGCAAGGGCGGCAGCGAGGAAGAGGCGGCAGGCCGAGGCCGCGCAGCCCGCGGCCAGCAGCGGTCTGGCGCCCCCAGGTCCAGCGGCTGCCGCAGCACCAGCAGCAGCGCCAGCGCAGCCAGCCCACGGACACGGAGCAGACGAGGCCATGCCTGGCGCCGAGACGATGGGTCACGAGCCCATCGAGATCGCAGAGAGGACGAAGAGACAGACCTCAGGGAAGGAGGAGATTCGTGAGAACAAGAAAGCACGCACTATCGGAGGTTTGCCCATGTGAGTCACGCCGCCCACGGTCTGCGTCGTGGACCTGAGCGAGCGCGCAGCCGAGCCCGTCGATGAGAAGGACCTGACTAACATCAATGGGGCGTCGCCAGGGCAGTTGCTGCCTGTAGGCAAGGCGAAGGATGGGCGCACTCGGTAGCGAGCAAAGATGAATGATCACAAGGTATTCAAGCGAGTCTACGCCCAGGAAGCCAAGGCAGGCGCGCGCGCGATGCAAGTGGGGAGGGTCGACGAGGACGACGGTGGTGGTGGTGGTGGTAGGTTGTGGTGGTGGTGAGGGCGGTGGTGGTGGTGGTGGCGGTGGTGGTGGTGGTTGTGATGGTGGTGGTGTGGTGGTTTGCTGTGTTGGTGGTGGTGATGGTTGTGGCGGTGGGTGGTGGTGGAGGTGGTGGTGGTGGTGTGGTGGTGGTGGTGTGGTGGTGGTTGTGGTGGTGGTGGTGGTGGTGGTGGGTGGTGGTGGTGGTGGGTTGTGGTGGTGGTGGTGGCGGAGGTTTGGTGGTGGTGGTGTGGTGGTGGTTTGTGGTGGTGGTTGTGGTGGGTTGGTGGTGGCGGCGGTTTGTAGAGGTGGTGGTTGTGGTGGTGGTGGCGGTGGTGGCGGTGGTGGTGTGGTGGTTGGTGGTGGTGGTGGTGGGTTGTGCTGCTGGTAGCGGTGGTGGCGGTGGCGTGGTAGATTGTGATGGTGGTGGTGGTGGTGGTAGTGGTGGTGGGTTTTTGTGGTGGTTGTGGTGATGGTGAGTTGTGGTGGTGGTGGTTGTGGTGGTGGTGGTGGCTTTGGTGGGTTGGTGGTGGTGGTGGGTTGAGGCGGTGGTGCTGGCGGTAGTGATGGCGGCGAGGGTAGCGGTGGTTATCGTCGCTGCGTGCCCGCCGTCGCCGGCGCCAGCGCTGGCGTCGCCGGCCGCCCACAGCGCCGGCGCTGGCGCCAGGCGGGGTTGAAAACCCCCCCTTCGGCGCCAGGGGTGGGGGGACCCCCCCCCTTGGGCTGCCTGCGGCGGCGTCGCTGCGCCCCCGCCGTCGGCGCCGCCGGCGGGCGCCGGCGCCCGCGCCGGGGGGGGGGGGAGGTTTGGGCCCTCCCCCCGCCCCCTTGGGAGGAGGGGGGGGGGGGGGGGGGGCGGCGTCGGAAGGGGGGGGCTGGGGGGGAGGGGCGCCCCCTTGATTTTGATCGACGGCGCCAAGTGTTGGGGGGGGGGGGGGGGGGCGCCCCCCGGCTCGAAGCGCGCCGCCGAATGTCCCCGAGGCAAGCTCGCATGAAACGCGTTCTCTCAGAGCTGCGACGAGAAGAGGGCGCGCCAGTGCATGGCGCCGACGGCGCTCTATCTGGCCGCGGGCAGGCCGGCCGCCCAGTTCGCGACGAGCTGGATCATGCGAGGCGCGCACGGGCCGATGGAAATCCACGGAGGAGGTCAAGCGGCTGGCCGCGTACCTGGACCTGGCGACGCACCCGCAGATGACTTGGCATTTCGAGTACCAGGAGATGCCGACGGATATCGCGATCGCCACCGGTTCCGCTGGGCTGGGGGCGAAGTGGCGAGGCGACGCCGCGGTGGAGGTTTCGAGTGCACAGGCAAGGCGTGCATCGACAGCTGGGCCGGAGAGCAAGCGTCGAGGGCGCTTAGCAGCGGAGAAGCCGAGCGCGCGGAGATGGCGAACGGAGCTGCCAGGGGCACCTTCACGAAGAACCTGCTCAACGAGATGAAGGTCGAGATGATGGTGACAGTGGCTGGCGACGGCGCGGCAGCGATCAGGATTTGCTCGGGGCCCGACGTCGGTCGCACCAGGTACTTGGATGCGAAAAAGCCGCGGTTGCAGGACAAGGTGGCGAGCAGGGGGGCGCGAGCCGAGAAAGTCCCGACAAGCGAGAATGAGGCGGATCTCACGACGAAGTCTCTGGATCCCACGCGACACCACGAGCTGGTGAAGAGGCTGCCATGGCCCTGCAGTCTGCGAGGGGCCCCCGAGGGCAGGGCAGCAGTCATCGAGACCACGATGGCGTGATGCGGCAGCAGGTGGCAGCAGTGCCGTGCGCCACTGCTTCAGTGGTGCAGTACGCAGACGACATCGTCGCGCTGGGGTTTCGCCCCAGTGAGCGATTCCACGTGCAGTGCGTAGCCGACCCAGGAGCCGTGCAGTTTGGAGCCGCGAAGGGAGAAATGTCCGAGGTTTCACGCCGTGCAAAGCCGGCCGCAGGGGCGCCTGCCATTGTTTGCAGCACAGTGGATGCCAAGTGAAATGCGCGAGGGATGTTGGCGGGCGAGGTTGGACCCAGCCACGCCCGAGGAGGAGTGCAATACATTATTGCGCTCTCACAGGGAACAGCGACATCATGTATGCGTGTTGTACGTAGCTATCGCAGGCTCGAACGGAAAAGATACCGCGCCGCTTATTTTGGTCTTCCGTTCGCCGCCTCCCATATTGGGCATCCATACCATCCTAACGAACGACGCATCACATAACTTGCACCACGCATAGAGCACAGCACAACTTACACCGCATGGCTTGCAACGCATAGGTCGCATCACACAGGTTGGACTGCGCCGCGTGTGTTGGAACAAACCGGTTGCATTATATAGCTTGCGCCGCATAACGTGTTCCACATCCCGCGCCACGTAAAGTAAGTTACAACTAGTGAGCTCCATATGTTACGTCATATGCACGACGCATCCGGAGCACACTGATATGATGGTTTGTGGCCAGCGTATGCGAACGTATAACAGATTGGGCACACACAAGTTTGTGCATTCTTAATCAAGGCTTTTGCTTTTCGTCTTGAGCCCCAAATTTCCGAAACGACGTGCCGTTCATATGATCGGATACATTTAGCGCTCTCTTCGGTTTCGTGTCTCCTCTCTGCTCCCCTCTCTCCGTCCTGGGAAGACCTCCCCTTTTCCCCCGTCCAGTCATAGCTTGGGTCAGCCAGACATTTGCGACAGAGTGCGTGGTGTTCGTGGGAGAGGCGCAGTTCGAAATCCCGCTCACGCAGGGCGAAAGATTTTCCCCATGAACCCCAAATGTCCGAATCGACGTGCCGTTCAGGTGAGCAGATACATGTAGAGCTCTTTTCGGCGTCGTGCCTCCTCTCTTCTCCTTCTTCACTCCGTCCTGGGAAGACTTCCCCTTCCCCCGTACACATAGTTTTGGTCCGCTGAACCACAGTTCCATGGATAGCATGATGCTTCACGTGTTCTGCGGATCCTTTTTCCCTTGGGACCAGGATGTGCATTATTATTATATATGTGTTCCCAGAAAATCAATGCATCCATTGGTTTTGTACACGGAAAATAGGTTCCTGGCAAGACAGAAATAGGATCCACGGCAGAATCGCACACCCGAAAAAAACAATTTGTATCCGTAGGTGTTCTAACATTTTGGTTCAAATCGAAAAAGTTTAGCCTTGGGGATGTATGTTGAGTGCATCCTAGGACCTTAGAGTCAAGAGTGTCGAGGAGGACGAGGAGGAGGAGCGTCAGCATCAGCAGCATCAGCAGCATCAGCAGCACTACCAGAATGACAGTGGCATAAGCATCACCGTCAGTTGTTTTGGGAGGGAGCGCTTGCAGCAGGAACAACCGAGACAGCAACACCGGCGTCATGAGCATCAGCTGCGGCATAAGGAGCAGCGGCAGCAGTGGGCAGTGGGGGCAGGAACATTGTGAGCAGGAGAAGCGGGAATAATCATGGAGGAGTCTGTGGACAGGGCGAGAAAGAGAAAGAGAAAGAGAAAGAGAGAGAGAGAGGTTCCAGGGGCCAAAGGGACAGGATGAGGAAGGCTAAGAGCGAGGGAAGCAGCAGGAGCAGCAGGAGCAGGTGGGCTCAGGCGAACCGTCCCAGTAGCCTGAGCGCGCCGTCGCGTGGATGGCTCCGCAGTTCGCCAGGAGGGTCGCGCCCCTCGCGGGCGCGTGCCGCATTGTGCCGCAGTCGTGGTGGCACGCTGGGGACAGCCGTGGCCCGCCGCCGGTCAGAGCATTGCGCCGGCTGTTAGCCAGCAAGGCGGGCGCTGCCGCCGACCCAGCCGCCAAGCAGCGGGCGGAGGCCGCGAAGCAGGCCGCAAGCCGCAGGAAAAAGCAGGAGTATGTTGCTGAATGAAGCAGCAGCTTCCGAACTACTCCATGTTCACTTGCTGCGGAAAACGCCGTCGGAAAGTCTGCCCATGGCCGATTGGGCCCTTCAAGAGGGATCGAGTAGTTCATTGGGGAGGTCCTCCTGGAACTGTTTTTTCTTTGTTTATGACTTGTAGCGTCTGAACCGTTACTCGCGTGATAGGGCATAGTCTGACATAGTGAAGACTCATGCCGGTAAAGGGAAGGCCCCGCCAGGCCGCCTGTGCGTTGTGCCCAGCGCTGAAGGGGCCCAATCGTTACGTATGCAATAACGGCGTCGTGGCCACGTGGTTGATGCATGGCCCACTTACGATAGAAGGACCCCCTCATAGCCACCCCAGAGTTCGTAGCTAGCTTAGAAGCGCTCGCATAGAAAACACAGCCGCTCCAATTTCTGTCAGTCTGTGCAGCATCTATCTTGGCTGTCCTGTACCGCTTAATTACATGGATACGGAATCACCACAGATCCTCTCGTCTGGCTACCCGCCTCCTTCTGCCACTTCCCAGGGTGCAATTCCAGTCGGCACTTTCTTCGCCATCTGCGCGGGCCTGGGCTGCGGCGCATACTACGGCGGAATCCTGGAGGCTCGGTCCAGGGTGTGAATCGCCCAGGGGGGATCAAGAGTCAGTATGGGGGGCAGGGCATGGTGGTGAATGTATCATTCCGTCACCCCTCTACTTCTTACTCCGGATGTTGGCCCTTGCCCAGGATCCCCGCGGGCTGCCCAAGGGATGTGCCTGTCTCCAAGAGGTGCCCAACCTGGTGCAGGGCTCCGACCTGGAGAGGATGATCGCTTGGGTGCACGCTCAGGATCCAGGGCGGGACCTACTGTGAGCCCTCACTTCTGCGAGGCCACGGCAATGTTTTGTGGCAGATGTCGCAGTGTAAACCACTTCTTGTTTGAGCTGAGCAGTTTCCCCAGGTCTTTCCTCTTGCCAGCATGAGGTAAAGTTGGGCCCTGCGAGGTCTTCTGAAATTCTCCGTCGACGTGTGCTACGGCGCAACGCCAACAATGACAGTCAGAACATGCAACGTATTGCCCAGGTCCTGTTACTTGCTGCATTCGGTGTGCAACAAACCGTCGAATAAATCAGTAGTGGTCGCGATAGCACCCAACAGCAATCTGATATGACAGGTCTTCAGTGTACAGCTTTGGTTTTGTGTAAACGTATTGCATGTCTGTGGCGCGGAAGGGACACACCGTTGCAATGGACGAGTTCTAGTTCTGTTTTTGCAAATGGGTGTTGTGGGAGTCACCTCGTTGGGCAACTGGGTAACTCACCAGAAGCTCGAGAGGACGCCAACATCTGTGTTAGCTCCCCTCAGGAAGGGACAGTCAGGACTCATGTCGCCCGCAGGGAATGGGGAGTTTGAAAGGATCAGAACGAGAATGAGGAGGATGTGGGGAAATAGTAGGAGAAGGAGGGCGAAGGTCAGGAGGTGCAGAAAGAGAAGGGTGAGGAGCAGGATGTAGACAGACGGAGAGAGGCAGGAGGAGGAGGAGGAGGAGGAGGAGATCTTGGCGCAGAGGATAAGGGATATTCGTAACATAACCCCTCTCTCCTCCCATCTGCTCTCTGCATCTCCTTCCACTCCGCCCTTTTGTTACTTCTCATCACTCTCGTTCCTTCCCTCCCTCCTCCTCTAACCTCTCTTCACCTCCTCTGCCTCTCTCGCCTGCCGCTCCCCAGCCTTGATGCCATTTGTTCGTGTCTTGTTGGTCTTGACCTCAGAAAGAGCGCGTTCTGTGGTCGCTTGGATGGGGCGGGGTTTGAAGCGGACCCCCCCTCCCCCCTTCCCCCCCCCCTCCCGTGACGGGGGGGGGGGGTTCGAACCCCTTCCCCACCCCCCTCGTGACGGATGGGCGGGGGGTTCGAACCCCCCCCCCTCCCTTTGCTTCCCCTCTCCTCGGGCCGGCGCTGCGCTTGGGTCGGCGGCGGCTGGCGACGGCGGCGGGGGCGACGATTTCCATCTCTTAGCCAGCGCCGGCGCCTGCAGCGGCGGGCGGCGGTGGCGGGGAGCGTCGACGAGGACAGTGGTGGTGGTGGTGGGTTGTGGTGGTGGGTTGTGGTGGTGGTGGTGGCGGTGGTGGTGGTTGTGGTGTGGTGGTGTGGTGGTTTGTTGTGGTGGTGGTGGTGGTTGTGGCGGTGGGTGGTGGTGGTGGTGGTGGTTTGGTGGTGGTGTGGTGGTGGGTGTGGTGGTGGTGGTGGTGGGTTGTGGTGGTGGTGGTGGTGGTTTGGTGGTAGTGTGGGGAGGTTTGTGGTGGTGGTGGTGGGTTGTAGTGGTGGCGGTGGTTTGTGGAAGTGGTGCTTGTGGTGGTGGTTGTGGCGGTGGTGGTGGTGGTGTGGTGGTTTGTGGTGGTGGTGGTGGGTTGTGCTGCTTGTAGTGCTGGTGGTTGTGGCGGTGGTAGTGGTGGTGGTGTGGTAGATTGTGGTGGTGGTGGTAGTGGTGGATGGTTTTTGTGGTGGTGGTGGTGGTGATGTTGAGTTGTGGTGGTTGTGGTGGTGGTGGTTTGTGGTGGTGGTGGAAGTGGGTTGTGGTGGTGGCGGTGGTTTGTGGACGTTTGTTGTGGTGGTGGTGGTGGCGGTGGTGGTGGTGGTGGTGTGGTGGTGGTTTGTGGTGGTGGCGGTGGGTTGTGCTGCTGGTAGTGGTGGTGGTTGTGGCGGTGGTGGTGGTGGTGTGGTAGATTGTGGTTGTGGTGGTGGGGTTTTTGTGGTGGTGGTGGTGATGGTGAGTTGCGGTGGTGGTGGTGGTGGTGGTGGTGGCTGTGGTGGTGGTGGTTGGTGCTGTGGTAGTGGAGGTGGTGGTGGTGGGTTGAGGCGGTGGTGGTGGTGGTAGTGGTGGTGGTGGTGGTAGTGGTGGTAATCGTCGCTGCGTCTCCGCCGTCGCCGGCGCCAGCGCTGGCGCTGCTGTCCGCCGCCAGCGCTGGCGCCGAGGGGGGGGGGTTTTGAACCCCCCCCCCTTGGGGGTTTGAACCCCCCCCCTGGGCTGCTTCTGGTCATCGTCGCTACGTCCCCGCCGTGGGTGCTGCTGGCGGCCGCCAGCGCCGGCGCCTGCGCCGAGGGGGGGGGCTTGAACCCCCCCCCCCCCTTGGGAGGGGTGGGGGGTTCGGGAGGGGGGGGGTTTGGGGGGGAGGGGAGTCCCGCGACTTGAAACGCGCCGCCGAATGTTCCCAAGGCCAGCGCCCGTGAAACGCGTTCTCTCTGACCTCATGCTCTCTAGTTTCAACTCGCTCAGAGTTCAGGATTTCTACTGCAGAAATGTTTGTTTTTCCTGCCCTGGTGAGGGCGAGAGCCAGGGCCAGCTCAGGCATGTCCCAGGTTGTTCGGCTGCTCTTCCAGGGAGCCGACCCCTTCGCCTCCCACCTCGCGGGCGCAGGCGCGCCCCCGCCCCCACCGCTGGCTGCCGCTGCTGCTGCTGATGTAGGGTGATGGTGGATCTTGAACCCTTGCCCTTGTCTCGTCGCTTTCTTGTCCGCCTGCCCTCGTCTCGTCTCTTTCGTGGGAGTGTCCCTCCTCCTCTAACCTCTAACTCCCATCTCTGCGTCTTCCCGTTTTCTGAAATGGCCAGCCCCACGTCTCCTCCCCCCCGGCTTCTTGGAGATTGGGGAGAGCAGGGGGGAGGCGGGTCGTCATTTGATGGCACGAACTTTTGATTCCGATGATACGATTGATCGAACCAGTGCTCCAAACAGAAATTGCTTGCCGTTAAGGGAATTCAGCACATCCTCGTACGATCATTGGGCATATGATGCGGGGGACGGTTTTCCAAACTCGTTATCAACGGCCTTGGGGTGGGTTCTTGTGGCGGCAGTCGGGTCGCTTCGAGGATGCGAGCGTGGTGGTGTTTGACCTGGACGGCGTCATGAGCTCCGCCCGCAGGGACGACCACGGCGTCCCTCTGCAAGAGGCTCGCAGTCCGCCACCCGCCGGCCGCCCCGACATCACCGCATGGCGTCGTTGGAGCGGCCGTGGTCTCTGCAGGATGAGGAGGAGGAGGAGGAGGAGGAGGAGGAGGAGGAGGAGGAGGAGGAGGAGCAGGAGGAGCAGGAGGAGGTGGTGGAGGAGGAGGAGGAGGAGCAGCAGGAGGATACGTCTGGGGGGCACATCATGTTTCTCTTCCTTGCTTGCCTTCGCACGGGCCCGTGGGTGGGCGCACTGACGCTGCGGGCGACGAAGCGCCGCGGCTTGCCGACGAGAACAGGAGGGGGAGACTCGTCATCAAGCCGCGGGCCAGAGGCAGCTCGCAGGGGGAGGACGAGGTGGGGCGGTTCCCCCGCCTCCCCGGCAGGCCGCCGACCGCTCCCATGGCCCCCCCAAGGGTGTGGGGTCCCGCGGGGTGTGGGGCGGCTGGGCCTTGGCGCGGCCGGGCAGGTCGAAGGCTACCTCGCCAGGGGCGTCAGCGAGGACTTCATCCAGGCGGCCCGCGCCCTTTCCAACCGAGGCTTCGGCCTGGCGGCCGTGGCGCTCGCGGCCCCGCCGCCGGCGCCGCCGGTTCCGCCGGCGCCGCCGGCGCGGGGCTGGCGGGGCGCGCCGGGCAATGCGCCGCGGGACCCGGGGGCGGACCTCGCCGCCGGACCAGAGCTCGCCAGGAAGCTCATCGCGCGTTGGTGCCCGCAGGCGCAGCCGGCCTTCGAGGTCGTGCTCGGCTACGACCTCGGGGAGGCTGGTCTGGGGGGTCCTCGGCGCGCCCGCCAGGCTGTCCCCTCGCCGCAGACGTCGTCATCATCATACTGTTCCTCTTTACCACCCCCCTCATCCCTCACACTTGTCCTCCTGCGCTGGCTGAGGGGGTTCGGGGGCGGCGAGGGCGCGGAGAAAGGTACTGCTTCACTGCACCCGCACCGGTCCTGGGGAGCACAGTTGGGATCGTTGGGACATGCACATCAGTTTCTCCAGGCAGGAGCGACGAGCCAGAGGAGGATGAGGAAGGAATGCACGAGGAGGGGGAGGAGGACGACGACAGCTAGGAGGAGAGAGGGTGCAATATGACGAGGGCATGTACTTACAGATCGGGATGCGGATGCTGAAATCGGAAGCACCTGAAAGTAAAGATGATGGTGGTGATGATGATTTGGATTGTGTGGATTATGATCACGGTGATGGTGATGTTGCTGGTGATGCAGATGAAAGGGGGGAGGGAGAGGATGAGGAGGAAGAGGAATACGGAGAGGAGCTGCAGGAAATGGAGGCTGAGGAGCAAGATGGGGAGGGGGGGTGGGGTCGGCACGGTGGGATTACTCGGAGGCGCCCGCGGGGCCTGGCGTCCTGGGGCAGCAGATGCAGAGGATCGCCGAGCACTACCGCGTGCCATGCGGCAAGCTGATCCTTATCAGCGCCCGCGGCAGGACCGCGAAGAGCGAGGATGGATGGCTGCGATTGGCTGTGACGGACCCCGCCGAAGGGTTCCGCTTCTCGGATTGCTTCGCGACCAAGCCTTGAGTCTGAGACCTCGCGTGCCCCTCAGACCGTAGTCCGCGCATCGATGAACAAGCAGGAATGAGGGGGAGAGGCAGGAGACCAGTTACGCAGATTCCTTCGTCACTAGGGCAGACACTCGCCGTGGCCAGGGAGGGCTTCGGGCGGCCTCCGGAAGGTTAAACAAGAACCCGGCGCGACCCCAAATAGGGAAAAGTGTCCTATTGCATGGGCGCGGTGCTTGGCATTGCTTGGCAATGCTTGCCCTTGGTTGGCGTTGCTTGGCATTGCTTGGAATTGCTTCGCATTGCTCGGCATTGCTTGGCATTGCTTGGCACTGCTTGGAATTGCTTGGCGTTGCTTGGCATTGCTGGGAACGGGCGCTGAAACAATGCGAGGCCACGCATAGGGGCGGGGGGCCCGGGGAACCCGAGGAACCCGAGGAACCCGAGGAACCAAAGGAACCTGGGAAACCCTGGGGAACCGGGAATTCAGGGAACTTGCGAAAAACAGTCGTTACCACACGTCTCCTGCCGCCGCTTAGAAGCATTATTACACTACCTTGATAAAATACGCGCGCGACAACTCATCTTCTCTTTTCCCCATCCGCTTAACGGACAGTCGAACTTCATACTTGAACGGCTGACGCCGCACACATTGCCGCCATGGTCGCTCGGGGGTCCTCGAGCCCAAGACGTTCCTTGGAGACGCTGCTAGGAGTGCCACATCTACTACCGGAACATTATGATCAGATTGGCCCTGTCGGGCTTAAGTTGGGCAAAGATGAGTTATCCGCCGAAGTTGTTGAACCAAGGATGACCGACCATGTCGGTCGTCTTGGGGCCCCAAAGACACCCATCCCACAATACATGATGAGCGCGGGAAGGGGCCTTGAGCAAGTATCAGTTTCGAGTCGAAGGACCGTTATCTTCGACTTCTCAACGCATCCAAGATAAGGATATGTTAGACGGCATGCCCGTCAACCGCGGTAGACGAGACACGCCTGTGCCCGAGGGCGACTCCGACGAAGAGGACGAGCGGTGCGGCAGCAAGAGCCGCCCCCGGAACCCCCTCGCGGATAACGTCGCCCAGGCTTACGCGGTCCACTCCAGTTCGTCGGATGAATAAGGAGTGGAAAGAACCCCTAAAAACGGGAAAGAAACGTTCTCCGCGTCGAGCTCATCAGAGACGATCGAGACGTCTATGCTCGAACGGACGCCCGTTAAAGAGACTGCGGACCACGTCCAAAATCCGGCTGGGGAGCCCATCTGGGAAGACAACGAAGAGCAGCCGGGGGCCCCAGGGCCATCGTCCGGGGGGCCCGCGATGGCATCGCTTCTCGGCAAGACCCCCAGAGAAGACCCGGCCGACATTAAGGTGTCGCCTTACGAGAAGCGTCCTAAGATCGAGTCCGGTGGGCTAGGCATCCATGATGCACCCGGCCCGATCTCGGGAATCCGGGATAGAGGAAGTCAAATGCTTCAGTCACCGAGTTCGGTCTCCCAGAGGTCAAGATCGGGAAAGGGTGGCCCGGGCTCCACCCCGAGAAGCTCTCGACCTAGCTTGTCTATCTCGCGATCGTCTACGCCCAGGTATGTCACTAAGGAACCCTGCGCCAACTGGGGACCGAACTGTGCGGGCCGCCCTGAGAGCTGCTGCCCTGGCCGCGCCCTCAACGACGGTCCGCGCAGAAAGCCAGCATGCCGGGGGTGCTCATTCCAATGTTCGCTATGCAATTTAAACTACCTGTGCCCTGACTGCGCCCCCCCCCGAAGTTGCACAAGTGCTTCGCTCTCAAGAACCACGAATGGGGGCAGCAGCAGGAAGCGAAACAGCAACCACGAGAGTTCAAGAGCGCATTTCCGAGATCGTCGCCACGCGGGCGATGATGATCGACATGGAAGCAAACCAGAGGGGACAGACCGAAATGATCGCGCAGAGGGCTGAACACCCAATGCAGGAGATCGCCCAGAAAGAAAGGAGACAGCATTCCTCCATGAGGCTGCGCCTTCGGCGGACCGAGCGGCTAAAGGACAGGCGAGACTTGAACGGGCTGTAGCTGAACAGGCGCGCCAAGCCCTTCGGGGGGCCCGAGACAGACTCAACTCGAGAACAGTACTCGTCTGAGGCTACAGGAGGCCACTGCGCCCCATGAGCAAACGGTTTCTAGGGCAGAACAGGTCGCCGTGAAGTCGGTCGCCGAGAAGCGACACTTGGAGGAAAAGGCTTTCAGGGCTCAAGAAATGGCCGCGTCATCTCTGCGAGCCGCGCAGACGAAGCAACGACAGCTGGAGGCTGAGGCCCGTTCGTCGCAAGCTGGAGCTGCGAAGGCACATGCTGAACTCAACCGCGCCTCGGAGACTGCGACGGCAATCCGGGAAGGGGGGGGGGGGGGGGCGCTGGGGAAGCGGAAGCACTTCGCCGGGCTAGAGCCGAGGCGCTCGCTGAACACGAGTCGCCCCCCCGCCGAGCGGCTGAGCTGAGGTCCATGCGCCGGCGCGCTCAGGAGGCCGCAGAGACGTCTCGGGCTGGCCGCGCCAGTGCGAGGAACGAAGCCGAAGAAGCAATTCGAGCTATGCGGAACGCCGAGATACAAGCTCATCTGGAAGTCGAGGCGGCAAAGCATCATCTCCAGAAGGAAGCTGTCGCGACCATGCGCGAATGGGAGGCCCGACGCGAGATGAGTTACCGGCAGCAAACGCGGCAGCTCGTGCAAGACGGCCTGCGGGGCGTGGCGAGCACGGTCAGAAGGGCAGCGTCGGCGACCGTTACGCGGGTCCGAACTTCGGGAGGGGCCGCCAGCCAGCGGGGCGGCTCCCAATCCAGACCGGCCATGACCGATGTGAGCCGATGCTTCATCTGCAATGACCCCGATGCCCCACGGAGATGCCATAGGTGTGAAAGGCCGTTCTGTGAGCTACATTTCGATTGAGTAGTGATGCGTTGCCACCAGCGTGGGCAAGATAGAGCCCGCGACCACGAAGAAGCACTGATGAGGCAGCGCGAGGAAGAAGAGGAAGCCCAGATGATGAGAAGGATGCGAGAGGAGGAAGAGCACGCTCGGTCCAGAGACGAGATCGGAGCCCAGGCGGAAGCCAGGGCCGTCCGTCGCATCCGAGAACTTGAAGAGGCTGCAGAGCTCCGTGCGATGAAACTAAGAGAAAATGCACGGACTCAAGCAAACGAGATGCGAGAAAAGGCTGAGGCGCTGATGAAAGAATCAGAACCAGCGCGACAAAGGCCGAACAAGATCACCGCGAGCGCCGGGAACTAGCTCCGAGTGCGGCGCAGGCGATGACGGAATAATAGAAAAGGAAGAATAGGGCAGAGCCTGCGACGAGCTCGCTTCCAGGATAAACGCCGCCTGCCCAGCCTAGGAAAACAACGGCCCCTGCCGGAGACCTTGCAGGGGGCGATGACATGCCGCCCCACCAAGGCCATGCCGAAGGTGGGGGTGAAAAGCCTGGCGGGAAGAAGGGCGGCGCAGGCGGTGCACCCGGAGGCGACGATCCTGGCGGCGATAGAGACGACGACGGTGAGGACGACGACTATGAGCCGAGTGATGAAGAAGATTCCGATGAGGAGGAGTCAGACGATGAAGAGGATGACGAGACTGAAGGTGAAGAAGACGAAGAGGCCGCCAACAAGAGAACAGAACGCAACGCCGCCGCTCAGGGACCCGATCAAGGCAATCCGGGGGGCGGCGGCCCACCGCTACCGGGCCCGCCCGGAGGGGGGGGGGCGGGCCGGGGATCCCGGAGTACGAGGGAATGCTTCTACCCCCTGCCCCATGGGCAACGGCGGGCAGGATCGACAAGGTCACGCTTGATCCCCTGATTGGTGCTGGGAGTCTCCGAACATGGAAGAAATCAGTCATCGGGGCGGTGGCCTCGTGCTCTCAGCAAAACCACATCTCGGCGTCAAAGCGGGTGGCCGAGGCCTTCGAGCCCAAGACGGTGAAGGCCAAGAAGCTCGAAGACCCTGGCCCGCTCTTTGGGAATTTCGACATGCGAATCGCAGCTGACCTCATAGCGAAGCTGGCGCAAATCCAGAGAGACCCCAATTCCCCATGCTCTCCGCCATCTAGCCAACGAGGTCGACCGCGCGGACACGAAGAATATCCAGAAAGGACAGCTGTTAACAGGTAGGTCGATTCTCCGTATAATCCAGATACACGTCACCACGCGTGAGGACCACGGACAGGTGTATACCTACGAGGACCTCATGGCGATTCAGATTTAAGGGGGAAGGAAAGGAGGCCGACGAGGACCTCTATCACTTTTACGACGAATGGATGCGGGTGACGCAGGAGATGGAGCGGCCTCGCAAATCCTTCAGACCCTCGGGCCAGAACCACTCCTACAAGCAGATGAAGAGATGCCCCTGCGCGCAGGTGACCCTCGTCATGTACGACCACAGTAATGATGAGTACGGCACGGGCATGAAGACTTACGAGTGGCTGTTGGGTCTGATCGCGAGGCAGATGCTGAAGGATCGCGGGGGGAACAACCGCGGGGCCCAGAAACAGCAGATCAACAAACGCGGGGTGCAACCTGGAGGTGGCAAGGGCGGTGATGGAAGTAAGGATTCGATCGCCTTGAAGGACGGCCGGCTCATGAAGTCCGTCGTTCGTCGACGCCAGCTCAAAGACCAGTGCCCATGCAGTCGGAATGACTGCCAACGCCTGCATCCCAGACAGGCGACGCCCGCGCAGAAACAGCAGCGCGGACAAATTCAGGTAGCCGCGCCAGGGCCCACCCATGGAAGACCGACTGGGAGAGGCCCGGGGGGCAAAACCGACTCCAGGGGCAGAGGTAAAGGAGACAGCAAAGGAAAAGGCAAGGGCAAGGGTGGCAGTAAAGGCGGAAAGGCTGACCGGTCCAAGAAGCAGAGCGGGGGTGGTAACAGCAGCCCGCCGCCGAATAATTAAAGCAAGGTTTGCTATGCGTTCAGCCGAGGCCCCGAGAACTGCGACGGCTCACGTGGTCGCGAGCACTGGCCGCTAACGAAGCAGGAGAAGCTAGAGCGTGTCGTCTTGGGGCAGAACCTGCAGAAGGCCGGCAAGGGTCTTCCTTGCAGTCGGAACGCGGAACAGACGGCCGCAGTTGGGAAGAGCGCGGAGGCTTCGAAGCAATCGGCCGCCCCCGCGCCCGACGGCGGGAAAGCGCAGGGCGGCAAAACAAGCGGGCAGAAAGGCAAAACCAAGGCGAAAT